GTAAGAAAGAATCCGAAGAGTCTCTAATGATGCTTTCTGAAATACAAACTCCATGAAGGAAGGAACTCACTCTTCTATCCCCGGCATCTTGCCCAGAACTACCTGCCCAGTGTGTATTTGTGGATGAATGAATGCAGGCAGGCAGGCATGTGTACTGGTAATGAAGTTCAAAATGTGAATCAGGGGCCAGCAAGTGGAAATAGAGAAATATGTACACCTGGCAGGAGTGGCTCAGAACTGAGGCTGAAACTTACTCATAGAAAGAATCATTAAAGACTGAAGAACAGAGACGAATGTTTAAAAACCTGATGATTTGAATAAAATTGTAGCTTTCATTTAATCTCAGTTTTACTTCCCGTTCTCTACTTCTGGGTCTGTGTTGATTCTCAGTGTTTTGTTCTTAACATCATAGCTCAGCTGCAGCTCTGTTTGACCTTAGACAACTTAACCTCCCCAAAGCTATTAACTCAGTTAATAAATGTTAAGCACTTAGCAGTGCCTGTTACATTTTCTCTGCTCAGGAAATCTTAGTTGTATTTTCACCTTCCTAGTCATAATCTTATTACATATTGAAGTAAACGTTACTATGCTACTAGTATTTGTCCGTATTTACCTGAGTGGTAAAAATTTTCTTCCTAATATTATCTCTTTATCTTTAAAGAAACTTCTGGCAAATAGCTCTTGTTATAATCTGAAACCTAAATTGATATTAGTTTGATTATTATGCTTTTCTCATTTAGGAACATATTAATAAGTTTAAAAAAAAAATCATCTAAGCACTGACAAAATATTTGCTAATATGGAAATGCTCACTTTGAGGTTCTGTTATTTAGTAAAATATACAAGTATTGGGGGAAAAAAACAATTTCTAAATCTGTCATAATACATTTTACCAGACTGTACATGAAGTTTTTAAATACTCTCCATGAAGCTTTTTATCTTCAATAGGGTAGAAATTTTAAATTTGTATGCCTTTTTAAAAATTCTGCATACATTAGAAACATCTAAAAGAGAAAATAAGATTATTGGCAGCTTTACTAGGTGAATAAATATTATTTAACGATTTTTCAGTGATAACTAAATCAAAGAGTCATCAACCTGAAACCTTTATAACTTTTGGCATGGTGACATTTTGAAAGTAAATTTGATGTTTGGGTTTTTTTCAATTCCATAAATGCCATGGGAATTTTATCATGTTTCAACACTTGCTGAATATGTAATTCCCATAGTGCCCATTAGTGGCCATCTGTGTAAGGTAATACATATTTGGGAGGAAATTGATTATGGACTAAACACTCTTGTGTTATGATCAGAAAAGCACGCAAAGTTCAAATCTTTTTTTCTAACGACCATTATGTAGCTAAAGATATTAATTTCCAGAGGCAGAACAGCCTATCGCTCAAGATTCTAATCTCACAATAAATGACACCAGGGTAAAAGAAAAGGAGTCTGCAGAACCAAACCTTCCACTAAAATTAACAAATGCTTTTCTTGAGGAGCTCTAGGATAAAGGGAAAATTAACAGACTTGGAGCACAGTGTTTTTACAGGCATCAAAGCAAATGCACTGCAATTTTGCTGAATATTCAGAAACATTTTATTACTCATTTTAGAAATTCCTGTTATAACCACCAACACGCTCCATGTTAACCTACTTGTAACTTTTCTCAACATACCTAGCTGGCCCTATGTCTTTGGTCCTTTATATTATTTTTGCCTGGTTTGAAAAATGTTTCCCTTATACCTGTCTGTGCAAAACCAGATGCTTCCTTTTTTCAAATCTGATTTTGACATGATCTCCCCAGTGAAATCTTTTTATTTTTATAGATTTGTGTGTGGAAATGTATATCCATATAGAAATGAGCTCATTTCTCCCCTTAAAGTAGGCCTAGGAGATATACAGGTATTTTATATATATATATATATATATATTTCTAATGAATGTGCTCACTTCTTGGCTCTCACATTATGTAGTTGCTGCAGTGTTTTGTAAAACACATTACAAAAAATAATTTTTTTGGTTTAGAAAATTTTGAGGGTTTGTATTACCAAACTATCTCCATGATCATCAAAAAACCTTATCATGCCTTCTGTAAAATATTTAAAGTCTGAACACAGCTACATCCTGATGTTTACTGGGATGTGAGCCAGAATGATTAGCTGAAAATGCCCTAAAAGTAGCTGAAAGAATTGGTAGAATCATTGTTTAAATGTTGAAATAGAGCAATTTTGTGATGCTGGCATAGTTGATGTGAACTGTTGTTTCTTTTCTTTCTTGAACTTCTTGATGATAATTATTCATCAGGTTATGATAGATTCTAAATCTGCTTCCCATTAAAGGTTTATAAAATAATGCTATCCTCTTAAAGAAGGAAATTTGCCTTCCTGTTTTATATATTATATGCTAAGAAGTCATGCATCAAGTATATCTAATAGCTGTCCACATTATTTGGAATATATTGGAAAGAAAATAGTCTAAATTGCAGCAATGTTTTATAATATTTGGATTTTTGTTTTGTTTGTCATTAACTCATTTAGCAAACATACTGAATGCTGTCTTTCAATGCGTTGGAGATATAAAGATGAACAAGACTTAGTCCCTACTTTTGAGCAAACCTACCAGACTCATACATTTAAACACCTAATCTTAATATGATATGATGTATGAAGATGAGCAAAATTCCATTGGAGCACAGGAGAAGGGAAAACTTGTTTTAAGAAGTAAAGGAAAGCTTAAAAGAAGTAGTAACTGTTAAGTTTGTCCTTACAGGATAAGCTCAGTTTCACTAGACAAGGCAGTGGGGGAGGGGGGGCATATACCTTTATACACATACATACGTATACATATACAAACACTGTGCATATGCATGCCCATCGACACATCCATGTGGCAGAATCTGTTGGGTGGCTAATATAACACCCATTCCCATGTCCCGTCTGCCTCGATACCTCTACTGTGCAGACTGGAAAAGCTAAATCTGATAACTAGGCGTAGCCATGTAATACAGCCTGGCCACTTGGCCATATTTCAAAATATGCTGAGGGCTTTTAGAAACACTTTTGTTTTTCAAATAAGAGACAGATACAGTTGGCATTACCTCCTTATTCTTGACTTCAGTATGGCTGTTATACATTGACAGCCACCCGAGACATTGAGAGAGATCAGGAGAAGGAGCTGAAATATGGTCGACGAGTCACCAGTTTAATATCCACAACTGCCTACTTTAATACTACTTATGTGAGGAAAACTAAACCTTTATATAAGCCATTGTTAGTCAGATTTTTCTATTATTTGCAGCCAAAAGCATTTCTGACTAATACAGGCATAAACTACACACATGCATTCTTACATGTTTGTATATATAGTTAACTATTTTCCATGCCTAACCAAAACTTGAGACTAATTTTAGACTTCAATTTTGCTGAAAAGTAAACAGGGCTTGACATTAATGGATCTTTAGATCTTGAAATCACATAATGCCCTCTCTCACCTTCTGCCTCGATACCTCTACTGTGCAGACTGGAAAAGCTAAATCTGATAACTAGGCGTAGCCATGTAATACAGCCTGGCCACTTGGCCATATTTCAAAATATGCTGAGGGCTTTTAGAAACACTTTTGTTTTTCAAATAAGAGACAGATACAGTTGGCATTACCTCCTTATTCTTGACTTCAGTATGGCTGTTATACATTGACAGCCACCCGAGACATTGAGAGAGATCAGGAGAAGGAGCTGAAATATGGTCGACGAGTCACCAGTTTAATATCCACAACTGCCTACTTTAATACTACTTATGTGAGGAAAACTAAACCTTTATATAAGCCATTGTTAGTCAGATTTTTCTATTATTTGCAGCCAAAAGCATTTCTGACTAATACAGGCATAAACTACACACATGCATTCTTACATGTTTGTATATATAGTTAACTATTTTCCATGCCTAACCAAAACTTGAGACTAATTTTAGACTTCAATTTTGCTGAAAAGTAAACAGGGCTTGACATTAATGGAAAAGTAGAAAGTGGATTTCTTTGTGATCATCAACTCTGACACTATCCTCAGACTTAATTTCCCTTGCATCCATTCTGTCGTTGCCTATATTTTAAATAAAAAATGAAGACAAGGGGGAAAAAAGGTAAGAAAAATAAATTCATAAGTGGACCATGCTAGAAGATAGTGTATTAGTCCGTCTTCTGTTGCTTATAACAGAATACCTGAAACTGGGTAATTTATAAAGAAAATGAAATTATTTCTTACAATTCAGAGGCTGGGAAGCTCAAGGTTCAGGAGTTGCATCTACTGAGAGGCTTATTTTGGTGAAAACTCTCTACAGAGTCCCGTGGCAACCAGGGTGTCACATAGTGAGAATGCACTGAGCAAGAGAGCTAAGCTGTTCACTTGCCCTTCTTATAAAGCCATCAGAACCACACCCATTACTGGGGAGCGCCGCCGTGCTTCCCAAGCGGCGCACTATAGCAGTGCGCCACCGGGCCGGCCCCTATCCTTGCTCTTTTTCAAACAGGTCAACAGGATTGCTTCTTCACTGTGGTAGTCTTCCATTTCCATAGTTTTTTGTTTGTTTTTTCTTTGTAGCTGCATGCTACTTTTTTAACTGACTTTTTATTCCTCCCCTGCCATGTCTTTTTTTTTTTTTTTTTTTTTTTT